CAGCTTGAGCCATCAAGAGACCCTACCCAGACACCTACAGCTGGAATACAACAAACAACAGTGTCTCCAGAGCCCAGCAGAGATCAGGGCTCCATTCTGCTGAGAGCTGTACCCACCCCTGGGGAGAGCAGCACCTGCATCAAAGAGCTTACACCCTGGCAAAAAGGTGGGAGAAAAGATCGGGACCCTCACCTCAGAGCTGAGGAACAGAGATAGGCTTCATTAAGTTTGTAAAGGGAGCGTATGGCACAGAGGCAAACTGAGACAAGGTCTCGTTTTTCCATCCACCCTGATATGGATTTAATGCTAAATGCACTGACATGGAAGCCGGGGTACTGGGAGGATCTTTTGCTTGGGTGGGAAATTCTGGTGTCCAGCTTCAGAGCTGCCCTTGCTTTCTCTCCTCCACTGCCAGGGGACCTTGGGTGTCTTGCAGCAGCAGCGGAGGAAGGTGTCTCATGCTGGCATCCTTCCATGGCACAAGCTGGCTGAAGCTGAGGGTGTAGGGGGAGAAGAATGAAATTCAGAGGAGTGTCCCCTCAAAAGGGACACGTTGCAAGACCATAGGAGCAGATGCGTCATAGCTCCTTATCATTTTCATTTTCTGGGGGTTTAAAGGAAAGGGTCTTTCTTACCCTCAGAGAGAAGAGATCTGCTTTATTGCTTCCTAACACACCCGGATATGTCACCCAAGCTGTGAGGGTTAGATAACCCCACTGCTATTGCCACCAGAGTCAGAAGCAGGCCAGGAGCCCAGCTTTCTGGCTCCACGTGCCCTCCCCATGAAACTGCCCTCCTCTACCTGGCTGCTGCTCTTCCAGATCCCAGACGCGACACAGCTGGGCAAAGCTGCCGGGTCAGCCAACCACCACTGTCCCAGGGAGCGATACCGGCTGCTCCCGAGGCAGCGATAAAGCTGTAGGGCTGTCCTATATTGCACCCACACGTACACACCCCAGCTCCTCTCCCCATGTGCTGGGATGCCCATCGCGCACCCCGCCCTGGGCTCCTGGCAGGCTGGCCAGTTCCCCGTGTTACAGGGTGGGGAGGGAAGATGTTCAGAGCGCCTGCAGCTATTCAGTTACTGATGGTTGTGTTTGAAGAGCTTCCCTATCGCCCTTTTGTTAAAGCTTTGGCTTCCCCCCCATAGCCTCAACAGATGAAATCAAAGGGAAGTAGCTTTGCTTGGTGTAACCTGTTTTGATCAAGCAGATAAACAGGGAACAAGTGTCTGACACAAACAAACAGACAGACAGAGGCAAGTCCCACCTCAGCATTTTGTTGCATCAGATACAGAGGGCTTAGATAAACCACAAGAAGGGGGAGATCTCTGCCTCTCGGCTTGAAGACCAGGGGCGACATTCTGCAGTGCCAAGCCCCCACAGTTCCCATTAAAAAAAAAAAAAAAAAAAAAAAAAAAAAAAAAAAAAAAAAAAAAAAAAAAAAAAATCAACCCAGAACTTGCTGGCATGGCTTTCATCAGTTTAAAAAGATGAAAAGAGCTTACAGCCAAGCATAAAACTCACGCTTGTCATTACCCCCCATGGAGTCAGCTGGACTGCCTGCAAGCCCAGCCACAGCCGCTCATGCCAAGTGTTAAACCACGCTGGCATCGGCCAGAAAAGGGTAAAGAGGACCCTCAGACTGGAGACATGAGCCGGTGCTCGGACTGGGGCTGACCTACACAGCTCTTGGGCGATGGGGAAGGCAATCCAACCCACGGCCCTCGCGGGAGAAACTCGTGCCTATTCCCCTATTCCCCTCACACGCGTACTGTGATAAAAAAGGCAGACTTACAGTGAAGGAGGGCTTACGATTCACAGGACTGGGTAGGGGAGGTGATATTACTTAGATTTTTTTTTTTTTTAAATCATGGATTTTGTAAAATAGCAAAATTTCACTACAACCGGTAGACATGGGGGGGGGGGGGGTGGTTTTTTTTATGGGGGGGGGGGGTGTGTGGAATCAGATAGACATTGGTTTTTGAAGAACATCTTACTAAAAGCTTTGAAGCATTTCCTATGAAATTGGTGTGGATGAAAAAAAAAAAAAAAAGCTTAGCTTTCCTAACCTCCTATGAAAGATGAACAATTTTGACAATTTTCTCAAAAAAGAAAAAGCCTCACGACTATTTTAAACACTTTCAAAGTAAAACAATGCCCAAAATTACCCTTTTTTTTGACTCTAAGCCTAGAACTGGCGGAGATATGAAAGGACGAGATTATGCTTCTGCTACTGACACTTCCCATCAGATCTTTAGGCATCAGTTTTACATCAAGGGCTTGGTTTACAAAAACATTTTGGCACCCAACTCTCTCCAGTATTTTTTTTTTTTTTTAATTCTTCTTGGAGCCAGTCTGCATCTTTTGGTGATGAAAGACCTTTGTAAATCTGCCCCTAGAAGGATTTCCATTCTTTATTAGCTATAATATTGTTAGTTTGATAACTGCTGTCTCCTTTGGGGGTAACAAGATTCCTAGGGAGCTGTGTGGATTGGTCCAATTCATTTGGAAATGGATCTTCAATTAATGAGTCATCGGAAAACAGATTTTCCCACATGAAGCTAGTAAACAAAACAGTAAACTATCAGGTGTTGCAGTAAATATTCCTCTAACAATGTGTATAAGGGAAAATAAAAACTTCCAGGGAAGTTCAGTACAAAGAGTTTTGTTGTTTATAAACAGAACGGTCGGAAAAAGGAAAAAAAAAACCAAACCAAACTCGACAAAGATGTGTAGAGGTTTTAGGTAAAGCATCGAGGCAGCCCCTCCGTGGGCTTGGCTGGTCGTGACTGCCAGTGGGGCTGGTGTGCCGGGTTACACCACCTGCAGCATAACACGTAGAGCTGAGCGACAGCGTGCGATCCCGCTCTGGCCACCCTCTTCTCCGAGAGCCCTGCATGGGCTGGTCGCTGCACAGACTGGTCACCCTGCAGGAGGGGTCGTGGCTGTTCCCTAGAGTCCTGCAAGGAGCTCCTAACTCTCTGCAGTACCTCTCATCACAGCTAAGTCTGAGGTAGTGATCTCTGAAGATCCTGAACAGATCAACCAGTCATGGGGACTGTATTAGAAAAAAGAATAATTTAAACAGGTTCCTTGTATCAGTCCGCAGGGAAGTGTCACTCTTTTGCAAACGAAGGAGATTTACTTGTTCTGATTTCCCTGCTTGATTTGAAGGCTCCTGGAGCAGAAGCAGAGCTAATGCCGCTGCAAACATTTTTGGTATTTTAAAACAAATTGACTTCACTGCTCGGCTTTCTTTTCTCAATTACCACTAGAAAGAGGTGCTACAGCTAACACTAATGGCTGTCTGGGAAGCTTAAGCCGAAAAACGTATTTTATCCAATCAACTGTGGTGCCATCTTCTCACCTGTTTAACACTACTGATTACAGCAGCAGCAGCGAGAGTCTCCCACTACATTTAGTAACAGCCAATACCAAAACCAAATACCGACTCTCGTAATAATACAGCCTTCCCTAATCTTGATTCAGCTATGCTACCCATCAGCTCTGTGTGCCAAGATGCACGAAACATTTCAGGAGACTCTGGCTCCAAATTTAAGGCCCTGTAACAGCTACCAGGGTTTTTTTGAAAGAGCTTGGGAAGTTGGGTACATGTTTGTTGCTAGGCGGCTCGGAAACATTTATCTCAAAAAAAAACCTTGGGGTCGTCTGAAAGCCCTGAGCAGAAGCTGACCTGACCGAAGTCAATCAGAGTTCACGGACGTGAATAGAACCAGATATTATCTCTACATTAGATTATGTCAAATAACCAGCTTAATAGCTAAGAGCACAGAGGATTTATAGTCCTCAATGTATGGTGTAAATAAAGAGGTAGTTTTAGTCCCATTAAAACATGCCTAGGTTTCTCTGGCTTTACCAAGATCTCATTTTTTCTAAGTCCTCTCAAATGACCAAAGTAAGAGAGAAACAGTAACATCATTCCATGTAAAGTTTTAACCTGCTGCTACACCCCCACCCCACCCCAAGCTTAGGACTCTTCATTACTCAAAGAACAATGATTCTTCTGCATTGTCTCTATGAGTTTTAGTTTTAAAAAGGTGTTTATTTCTAAGTCTATAGATGAGCCTTACTGTTTCTAATAATCTTAATTTCTCATACCTAGTGGGTGCTAAAAATATTTCTTATTGCTGTTTATATGCCTAAAAAGGAATCTGATCAAGAGCCTTTGTGAAATTACAGCCTCGAGGTCTTGCATTCAAAGCCCACTGTAGGCAGTAGCGGTCAGAAGTGATGCCAGAAAACAAAAAACTGATTTTTTTTGGTGTACATCACACCTTGTGGCAGCACAGGAGTTGGTAGGTAACCTGGCAGAAATCAGTGCTAACACCAGGGCAAGCATCTTCAAAGAATCACCTGTTCTTCAGCTTTCCATATTCAAGGAAAACTGGGGCTTCTAGCCACAGAGCAGCGAGAGTCTGAGCAGCTGTCAGGTGGGAGTCGTGGAGATGAGAAACCCAATCATGCTTCAAGATGAAGAGTGATAAATTTCTGCTGGAACTACCTAGCTGGATTTGATTATTCCCGAAGGAAGTCCCTCCCATTTTTCTACACATACGTGGCCAAAAAAGGCTTAGTCCCTGGGAGTTTCTTCTAAGGAAACACTGACACGAACCCTGCGTAAAACGAAGAGCTGTTTGTGCTAAACTGAGCTGATCAAGACTATTTCAGTGGCATTATTCCTTTGGCAAGATGTGAGCGTATTTCCATGCTAAAACCACAGAGGACATGACTGAGACACACACTGATGCACTGCTCTTACAGAAGGATCTTGCATGCTGATCAAGATACAAACGCAATCCTAGCCCAGAGTGCATTCTTGATCAACTCCCAGGCTGGTTGGAAGAGCGCAACGAAGCAGCAACAGGAGTCAAGCAAAGCGTGGACAGAAACTTCCAGCACCCGTGCCCCCCTTTTCTTTTCTTTCCCTTCCCTCCTCGGGCTCCCTCGCCTGCCTCCCATGTCCCAGACCCTCCTTACCTGGCTCCACCTGGTCGGGTTCGTGCCGAGTATCTGTGGAATCTGCCGCATCACCGCTCATCTTGATCTCTGGAAAAGGAGGCACAACTGATTTTAATAACAGGTCACAGTCCCAGGCAACAGGCACATGTGGCTTCCACTAAACAGCACAAATGAATGTGTAATTATAATAAACCATCAGACTTTCAAATTTCTGATTCCTCAACATACAGTCACTAGAATATTCATCAGCTCCGAGGATGCACTTTCCCTCCTGTTGCTCTTTGCATCCCCCTCATTCCTTTCCCCCCTCCCCAATTTGCTGCTGTGCTCTCACCTTTCGCATCATTCCTCTCTCGCAGAGGATGAGGGGTTGTTTAACCACTGGGAGCCCTCCCAGCCTCTCCCCCGAGCTTTATGCCGGCTTCCCAAACCAGCTGGTGTGGCTCTCAGTTTGACACCGACCTCCACTACACCTGTGGATCCCTCCTGGGTTTCCCCTCCTCTCCCACATCCCTTCCTTGTCCCTGGAGATGGCTCAGCCCGGCCAGTGCTCGGTGCTGTACAAAGCACAGGCAGGGAGGACCAGCCTCAGAAAGGCAGGCACGGAGCAAGATGCTCTCAGAGAGGGAAGCAAAGTCCATCTTCTCCTCTCACTCCCTTGCAAACTCAGCTTGTTTCTCTCAATACACCTGATCCCTAGTTGCAAACTATTTACCCTGCTTTCTCCCACGTGCACGTGGCTCGCACCCCTCCACAAAGAAGCTGCCTTGCTCCAAAGCACTGTCCCCAACCCAGGAGCAAGAAGAATACTTTGCCATCACGCTCCCGCCTATCTCCCCCCATCCTTATCAATGCCAATAAATTTGTCATTTACCCTTGAAGTGATGGCTGCCACCACACCCGGGGCCACGCTCTCCTTCGGGGACAGCTGAAAGACAAGGTGGGAATGGTCAACTTGACACTGGATTGCCCATCTCCTCCTTAAAAGAGGCGAAGTACACACGAGTGAAAGAAGGAAGAATATCTATTCAAATTCAGATGGACACCCCCTCACACTCTTCTACCCTTTGCATGGGAATTTTAACTCTTTCCAGGCTAGTTGGGGAAAAAAGATAATATTTTTTTATAAAGAACCAACTGATTTGCATGTGCTCCCTGCAGCCAGTCGTGGCCACAGAAGTCATCTGATTTGCATTGGGTCATAACAACAGCGTGGAAGCTGGACCAGTGTTTGCTGTGGTTTTACTGGGATAGAAAAGGCAGGTGGAAGCCTTCTTAAAGGCATCACGCAAACCTTTTCCTCTTTCCTAAATATGCTTTGTATTATTTCCAAACAGCCAAAAGGGTGAGAAGAACCCTATAGGTTTTTATACCCATTTCCCTCTATTACTCACACTAAAGGAGGCCTTTTCGTTTGCTTGTTCGGGTTTTCTTTTCCCCTATTCAAACTTCCAGCGTGCCAGTGGCAAACTATCTGCTTTTTGGCCAAAATTGAATAGCTTTGTTTAGGTTAAAGTTTGAAACTTTTTCTTCAGCAAATGACTCAAGGAAGAAAAAAATGATAACTTTATACCAGAGACGGAGTGCAGAAACATTCACATACTTCAGAAACTTCCTTTCTTTAAATTGTATTAAAGAGGGGTGAAAGGAGAGAGAAAAGAGCTGTGGGATTTTTTTTTCCCTTCAAATAAACCCACTGCAATTAAGACATGAACATTTAGTGGGGCTTCTAAGCATTTCTACTGCAGGAAGAGTAATTATCAGCAGCTATAAACATCTTCTTGTCTTGTAATACTGCCAAGGGACCCTAACTTAGGCAATCTACAAAGCACAAAGTTTTGCTTGCTGCCAAAAAATATCTTTAAAAAAAGCCAAGTTCTCATAAAAAAGAGTAAGAAAAATCTTAAATCATGCAGCTCTAGTGAGAAAGTCTGCAAGTTTGCAAAAAAAAAAAAGTAATGGAGGTTTCATTGTGCACACACAAGTAATGAATGAACATATGTTAGTGAAAGGAAACTATCTAATCCCCAAGACCAAGGAGCCCCTTATGGGCACAGAGCAAGAGACAGAGCAGTTCAGACAGAGCTAAAGAAGGGAAGACACAAAAGCAAACCATGAGAAGTTCTCTCCCTCTCACAGGAGTGAGCCCTCAGACCCTCTGCCATTTACAACCTGGGGTGGGCAGGGAGGAAAAGAGGAATTGCAGCTGTGGCTTGATTAAATATCACATGCTATCCATCAGTTAAATTCCTTCCTCCTGGAGTCAGGAGATAACAAGATACCCTGTGATTCTCTCATACACAGAGCAGAAGAATTTTATTTTCACAAAGATTCAAATTCTCATCATATATGTACACATATTTATTGCATTTTTATTACATAAATTTAATAAAAGTTTAAATATCTTGTGGGGGGGAAAAAACCCAACAACCTGGGAGGAAAAAGAAAACTCTTTGATCAAAGCCTACTGATCTGAGTGGTTTGGGGCTGGCCAGCAGTGCAGCAGCAATCATCCTCCAAGGGTTCCTTGAGAACAAGTAGCAGACATACAGGAGAATTACTTTCTAATATGATATAAGTGTAGCCAAGATAAAGGCAACACCTTTTTATTGACATCCAAGAGTCTTCCACTATAAACCAGGATGGAGTGATGCATCTGGATTTGAACACACCCCCCCGCATCTGACAAAATATCTCAAGACAAAACAGGCTGTGAGACTTTGAGTCCAACTAAATGCAAGCTCCACCATACAGCTTCGCTAGTTTGGCAATATACAGAGAATAAGCAGGCTAGGAAAAAAATCTCTGGGAAAAATAATGCAACTTAGGACTGCCTAACTCCTAACCACAGACCTATTAGGAGCCGCCACTGCGGCCTGGGCCATATTAAAAATGTGCTGCTATGCCTCAGCTAGCAAACATACCTGGAGCAGGGGTATTCTGGTTTGTTCACCCAGACCAAAGAAACTATACCAGTGCAGACACTTCTCTGGGGATATATCTGCATCTATATTTTTGCTGAAACAAATGGTGTCAGCAAATAAAGCTTTCCCAAGCCCTTATTCCTAGTAGTTGTTCAGACACGGGCACTAGGGTAAACCAGCCTGATGACTTTAAAAGGGAAAACGAAAGCTGGTGGTGGTAGTGGGGGGAACTCGGCTTGGCTGAGACCATTACCTGGAGCCTATTGAATTTTCTGCGCTTTAGGTGTCTGAGCCCCTCTGGAGGCTCCAGGAAGGTGAAATATCCAAATGCCTGGGGAGGACGCGGTGGTACACGCCAGGGAACGCGCTGCTGCAGGGAGACCCTCTTGCCAGGGAGGAGGGCTTGCAGAGCCCAAGCAGCCCACCTTCACTTCGCATGCTGCATCTTTTCTGCACGGCCGTGGAAGAAACAGAGCACACCTCTGCAAGCAGCTTGCTGCAAAGCCTTACTGTTCGGGGACCCCGAGAGTGAACACGCTGAACTGCATTTGCACAAAAGTAAAGAAACACCCTCCCACCAGCACTGGGCTCTGGCACATGAAAGTGGTTGGGCCGAGGCTGGTCTCTCTCCCTGCAAAAAGACTGCTTAAACCTTAGGTTCTTCTGACAGATGGCAGGGTGGGATGATTTGGTAGAATGGAAGTTCAGTGCGCACCCAGGTCTGCACAGCTCCAGGCCAAATCCACCCTGGGAGTGATGCCACTGGCTTTGACAGAGGGCACAGTATCGATTTTGGGAATCTTCTCATGAAGAGTCGCCCACAAGCAAAGCAGATGGGTGGATAGGAGCCTGCGGGGGATGCGTCCCTGAGAGACACCACACACAAGCACACCCATCGCAGGTGCTCAGACTAGTCAGGCTCACACACTGAGCCAAGACCACGAGCCTCCCGCAGCCTCTCCTCGTGGCCGGCTGCGCAGTGCCGGGGGCTCCCCAGCTGCCCTCCCCGTGGCTGGCACAGGGAGCCAGCCTGCTCAGCGGGGTGCCGGCTGGCCACAGAGGGGTTATCCCAGAGCCATGGAGAGGTTACAACACAGCCATGGAGCAGAGGCTTTGGCCATGTCTGCCAGCCCGCTGCAGGCTGGCACTGTGTTAGGTGATGGCATTGCCGCAGCATCTGCCTTGCCCTGCAGGCGTGCTGGTGAGCCCACATGCAGGCAGGGCCTGTTGAGAGACTGCAAGCATTGGGCATGGACCTCTAAGTCTCCCCTGCACAGCAGGACCACCAAACGCCTGAGCTTCGCTGCAGCATGCAAATAGGTATGCAAAGGAAACAAGCCTGGGACAGACTGATGGAAGTATCTGCCCCCTCCCCTCCAAACCTGGAGACAACACACAGCATCTCCTGCTGCACAGGGCACCAGACACAGGTCACTAGCAGGGCACATGGCTCCCGTACCGCCAACACCCTGCCGCCTGCCCCTGCCGCAGAATGGGCTGTCAGGATCTGGCCTTCGCTGCCGCTCTGCTCCTACCCCAGTGTCTCCCTCAGCTGCAGCGTGCCCGGGGACACAGTCCTTCCCCTCAGCACAGGGGCTTGAGCTGAGGGCAGAAGCCAAACTCACTCTGTCAGGGCAAGCCAGAACTTGGCACAGCCCCAAGGGATTTGGCAGTGATTGCTCTTGTTCCCCAGCTAATTGCAGAGGGGAGGTCTGCTCAGAGAAGATGTGAGACCACCTAAGCTGTACCTCTGGGTCAGACCCTCTGGAAGGAGTCTCTCTCTTTCCGAGTATCCCTGTTCATTCATTCCTCACTCAGCCCAGCCTCCTACAGCTCCCTCCTCATTCATTTCTCCCTCCTTTTCCCTCTTTGTCATTAACTTTTCTCCTTCCAACGCATGTCCCATCTCACTCACACACACACACACACGCCCCCTCCACCCTTGCCACATCCCTCTGTGAATTTATCCCCTCGCACTCCTCCCAGCTTTATCCCAATGACTGGACCCACAGGCCAGGCACTAAATGCTCATTTTCCAGGTACCCAAGAGACCTCCGCACTCTGCTCCCCAGCCCACGTTAGGGCTAGCAGCATGAGCGGTGTGCCCATATTATGGGCATGGCTTGGCAGTCCTCTAAATAGGATCAGGACAGCATCCATCCCCAGGGAGGAATGTGGGCACTTAACCAGGCACTGGCTGTGATAGCCGACTCTGGCGGGAGAAAAGAGGAGGGAAAAGAGGGAGGAAAGGTCACAGGAATCAGAGCAATCCCATTTCCTGCCCAAGTCCACGGTCTCAGCTACGTGGTGAGCACCAGCCCGAGCCTTCCTCAAGTGCTCTTTACCTGCATGCACAGACTCCAGGTTCACCATCCTGCTGGTGGAGGGAAATCCGCGGTGCGCCCAGCCTCCTGCCGTCAGCCCCAGGTTGCCAGGGGCTGCCAGTTTGCCCTCCCTCCTCTGCCACCCGCTGCCTCTCAAACCGGGCGTGGGTCCGCTCCCGAAGGGACCTAGAGCTCCATTGCCTGTTGCCATGCAGGGCCAGGTGAGCATGCGGCGCCGCGCCACGCCTCGCCCCACCTCCGGCTCCCTCGGGTGCCCTGACACCCAGCAGCCTGGCGCCCGGCCCATGCAAAAGCGCCCATTTGCATATTAGTAACTCGGGAATGGATGAGTCCCTGCAGCGCTACCAGGGCGTGGGGTGGGGTGGGAAGGAGGGAGGAAGGAAGGCAGTTTGCCCGCCCTCAGCTGCACCGATACACCCCGCAGCACCTGCCTGCTGGGCTGCAAGTGGGGGCTTTGCGAGGGATCCGCCATCAGCCCCAGATCCGACTTGTCCCCTCGTGGACAGGCTTTTGGCTCTGCCTCTTGCCATGCATGGGTAAGAGAGGCCAAGGCATCAAGCCGGGCTGGGCAGCAGCCACCGGCATCCAGAAGGAAAGGCATCCAAGCTGCGGGAACGGCCCCTCCAGTAAACAGCCCTTTCACTTCATTTCTGGCCGCTCAGATAAACCCTGGGTTCTGCTCAGAGTGAGCCATGAGAGCAGCCTGTGCAGTTGAGTCTCTGCATCCCCTAGGTCTGGGCTGAACCTGAGTGATGCCATATGAAACAATCAGCACAAAAAGGGAAGTTAGGAGCAGAAAGGTAACCTGACTTGGCTAAAGACACAGGGCAGAGTTAGGATCAGCACATGGAGACTCCTCTTTCCTGACTTGTGCTCTGTGCGGTACATCAGTCCCTCAAGAAGAGAAGAGAAGTGGCAGACAGCCTCTTCCTCCTCCTCCATGTTGTTCAAAGCTGCAGCATTTAACTGGCTTCCAAGGAAGCCAGGGAAAAAAATTCCCCTAACGTTGGCTTCTTTGGTAGGAAGCTGCCAGAGGCCAGGTCCTCAGCCTACGCTCTGTGCTGTGACAGGGACCAACAGTCACCCTGATGGACCCAGGCACTGTGGTTGCTCCCTGTCCCTGCCGTGCGCTACCTTGATGACCCCTACCATGGCCCAGGGTAGCAGGACGCCTGTGTTAAACGCCTGAGCTCCAGCGCTGCTCAACCCCCTCCTGAAAGTGTTAACACGCTCAATTGGTAGCTGCCAGGTACAAGCTATCACACATTCATCTCTCCCTGGCTAATTCACGTTCCAGGGGTGAGCCTCACCTCCAACCCAGTCCGACGTTATGGGGCTGGAGTGCCTGTCCTCGGCTTGCGTGGTCAGAGAGGACATCCTCAGGAGAGGGCAACAGGCTGGGAGGAAAGGGTGGACGTGTTAAACGAAACTCTAACAAGGAAAAAGAGGGGAAAAGTGAGGGGAGAACTAGAAGGGGGAAAGCAGGGAGAAAGGGAAGTTCCCAAGTCAGACTAACGTTTGCAGGACAGGGCGCGCGAGAAGATTTCTGCGGGCTGCGTTTAGCGCTGCTCCAGGAAGCAGAAAGGTGACACGGGGTGGTTTGCGCAGGCAACTTGTTTCGAGCTGCTGGAGGGGCTGGACTCCTGCCACCGATCCCCAGCCTGTGGCAGAGCCCCAGCCATTCAGGCCCTGATCCTCGGGGCGTTCCTGGGCAGCTGCTGGTCTGTTTTCTAGTGTTTTCAGCATGACCCCCCCATCTGGATTTTCCCCATCTTGAAGACTGACCCGATCAGGTGTCTTCACTGTGTCAAACCTGGATTTGCTGGTGGCTTCCAGCCAGCTTGAAGAGCCTCTGGGGCACAGGAGAAAGGCCCTGGAAAGGCTGGGGACCATGAGAGCTCCCCTTCCCCCCACATCAGAGCACGTTTTGTACACCAGTCGGGAGTTTCACTCGACGCCGATCTTTTCCCGGTGCTTTTCCCTTGCTCCAGAGCCGAGCAGCCTGTCCCGGAGCCCCAGGGAGGCAGGGCCCCCGGAGGCACCCCCCGCCGGGCAGGAGTCCCGGCATCCTCCGGCCGGGGATGCTGGCCGGGCCATGGGCAGGGCCGCAGTGCCCTCTCCTGGCGCTGCAGGCGCTGCCAGATGCAGCCGCGAATCCTCCAGCCACGCTCTGCAGCTGGTGGGATCTGCTTTTTCTGACTATTATTTTGTGGTCAATGGAACAGCAGGAAAAAATTAATATTTAGGCGCTTTTCTCCCCAAAAGGTTGTGGGAGCAAAGCCCTTCACCTGGGTACCCTTGGCTTCAGTGATGTGCTATGCAGGCAAGAGAGAATACAGCCTTCTTAAGCTACCTGAAACACCTCTGCTACCCAGGGAGAGAAAAAATAGGGGAGGGATCACAGCATCATCACTCCTTTCTGCTATGGAAATACGACCACCTTCTCCAGGCAAAGGCAGATTTGCTTTAACTCTGTCCTGAGATGATCACTCCTAGATGCCAGCAGATATGCTGCTTTTTTTGTCCGTGGCCATCAATGAATGATCCATCCGCTCTCATCCTCACTGCATGCATGCGTTCCTCCACTCCTGCTGCCAATGTTTATTCCCCTCTTAGAGGAAGATAAGCTCTGCAGATAGATAGCACTTGATTTATGGAGTATGGCCTTTGGACGGGCCCTGAAAGCACGAACTGCAGAAAGGTGTTACAAAATCCCCCACTGCTTTTTCCTAGCAGCAAGCATTTATACCCGTGCCAACTGCGCCTTCTCTCTATGCCAGGAAGGTCTCCTGTCTCCACCTGCAACAGCTGCTTTTCGAGGGTGTTATTTCAGTGCATCAAGAAGAAAGGTTTTTCTTTGGAAAGGCAAATGCACTGCAGTGCAGTTCTCCTCTAGGAAGGCTGAAACCTTGCAGGGACCAGGCTGCACAGCCGTGAGCCGGGGCACGGACCGCACGCCTCCCCACCGCCGCCGCTCCGGCCCGGAGCGGGCTCCGCCGCCAGCCCCTGCCCCCGGGCGCCCCTCACCGCCGCCGAGCAGAGCCGCGCTCCGCCAGCACCCACTTGTGGAGGCCGGGAAATCTGCACCGCCGGCCGTGCCCCGCCGGGCCCCGGGCAGGACCCCCCATCCCCGGGGCCGGGCAGCGCCGGGGCCCCGACACCGCTGACCGCGCTTTCGGACCCCTCCGAGGCCCCTGCTGCACACAGAGAGCTCAAAACACCCTCCGACCTGCACTGCTGAACACAGGTCCAGCTCGTAAAAGGCTCCTCCATCATCTCACAGAGCCGAGGCGACGGTTTGGTACGGCCGTGCACCATGCTGCTTTCCCGAGGCGGCCCTCGGCTCAGTGCTGCCAAAAGAACCGGGGAAGGGCTGAGGTGTCTCTATGATCCGGGCACCCCAGAGCCTCGCTGCTACAAAATAAGCACATTCCAGCTCACCCAGTGCTCCCAGAGCAAGCTCATGTCCCCTCCCAGCAGGCCTGTACTGGAGGTAACAGGGGAAAAGGGCTACGCGGGGCTCCTTGCAGAAAGGCACGCAGCCGCCCTGCAATCCTCTCCCACTCTGCCCACAGCCCACCTTGCCCCGCAGCTGGATTTAACTCCAGCAAGCGAGGACAAAGTCCCACGGTGTCCTGCTCCAGCAGGAGCTGAGGCAGCAGAGAACACACCCCTGCAAATGCTGACCACGTAAGTGAAAAAGCAGCAATTTCAGCTTTCCCAGAAATTGCAGTAAGAGGGTAAGTTGCCTCAGTGGCTCAAGCGGAGAAGGACCGAGGCTGCAAAAGTCCCATCTCTGCATTCACCACACTAGGGGGAATCAGCACTCCACATTTCTCCCTCGAGCAGCCGCAGCTGAGCTCTGAGCCGGCCCAAAACTCTGCCACCCTCATCTCAGCTGTAGCTGCAGAGGAATAGACAAAGACTACTTTATTGAGGCTGCAGGACCCAGACCAGCCTCCAGCCACATGGTGCAGCTGCACATCTGCATAACATCCTCTCACGGGACCCCACCATCACTTGGGGAGAAGAGCAGGCACCAGCCTGCCTAACCCCAGGACCTGCTTCTACCGCTAGACTTCCACTTCACCAGAGCTCAGGCTCGAACCTTCCACAGTTGCTTGAGATGAGCCAAAGCTGTCTCTGAGGGGCTGGGTGGACAGCATGCTTGAGATGTAGGACCACACTGCTAAGTGCTGGGGTCATGCCGAACAGCAGGATGTTCCCGCCCATCCATGGGTCTTCAATGTCCTAGGTGCAGGCTTGAGACTTACCCGTAAGGGAGCAACTCTTAATCAAGAACCCAAACAACCGGATCACGCATAGATTATGATGCACAGAGAATCTTTTAGGCCAGGGATGCTTTAAAAAAATCAGTTTATTTTACCTTACAAATGATAAATAATTTGTTTTTTTAAAAAAAAAAAAATCATTTCAAGTGTGTTTTACTTCATGTTGCAATATTAAAATACCTTTCCCTTCTCCCCCCGTAAGTGATCAATACAAAAATAATTGTGACCAAATTATTTTTTTGTCAAAAATTCCTGTATTTTAGGCAAAAAGGCACATTGTGAAGGCTTTTCACCAGGAGGCACAGGGGTTCACAATGACCCCAACAGCCTGTCTCCCCTCCCTGCTTGCTGTAACTTGAGTGGAAGAGGACATAGGAACCAGGCAGCACTCCTGCAGTGCTTTTTGTCTGATGCCCTCCAGGTATATACCAGGGCCAAGGTCAGCTTCAGAGTCATCCCTGTTTTACACATAGGGGAAACCAAGGCACAGCAAAGCAGTACAATTATTTAAGAGCTTCTTGTGAGTAGCTGGCAGAGTAGGACATAAAACTGGACGTAGATGTAGACTGTTGTCTTCTTCAAAACGACAGCGCGAACCCACCTGGGATCATCCTCCCCCCTCACAACCACAATGTTATGATGATAGTCACAAGTCTCTAGATATTTCTTTCTTAGTGGGAGAGTCACAGGACCAACACAAAAAGTTGGGCCTTCGCTAGTCTAAACAGGGATTAAT